CCCCTTCTCTTCCCCTTCCAGTGCCTTCGTGGTAGAGCGGCAGCCCTGCATGCCTATGCATCCCGACCGGCCATTAGTCATCAAGACTGGTGTCCAGTTTACAACTAAAGTCAGGTGGGCCACGGAACCTCCACTTCTGGCAGATATTGTATCAAGGGTCACTCTCAGGGCCAGAACAGGGTTGGTGGCCAGGGTTGTTCTGTATCCGCGTTGCAGGCAGTACTCTGATGGGTATGGAATTTGTTGGCATAATACCAGCTTGCTCTTTGATTCTCCTGTCAAAAGCTAAAGAACGGTAATCTTTTTGAGGTTACCTGGGCATATTCTTATGATTCAGGCCCATTGTATTCCTAAGATTCCAGGCCTAAAGTCTTAAGCCATAGAATCTCCATCTCTCCTGCAAAGGGGGCAGAATAATGCCAGTTATTTTTTGTTCTTTGAGCCTACTTTTCCCTGAGGATTTTAAGGGAAAGAATAAAGCTTAGTGATAATAGAAGCTAAGAGGCCACAGGGCAGATGGGTGAGGGGCCTGCAGGTGGAGTGTTACTTTCACATTCAAGTCAGAACAGGTAAGCTGGGGTTTGCCCTCCTGCAGTGAAATTTCCCTCCTCAGAAAGGTAGTATGGTGTTAGGTTTCAGGTTTAATAGAAAGAATACCACCTGCAGAGCATGTATTCCTGTAATATTTTTCATGAAATGGCTTTCATTATCCTTTGGTGAATCTCTCACAACTTATCTAAGTTCTTAGTTCTTAGGCTTTCTTTCAGTCCCTTTTGGCCTGATGCTTGACTTAAGGTCAAACCCAGCACCCGTGGGAAGAGGAATTTGGGATTATGACTTTACCTCTTTAGAATTGAAGAGTTAACGAATTTTATATTACTGCAACTAGAAGTTGCTGGGGGGGCGCCTAGTGACTTTTTTTTTTAATTGGATGTTTTTGCTTTGCTTTGAAACTTTTTTTTTCTTTCTTTCTTTCTTTTTTTTTTGAAATAGATTGCTGGTCAAATTTCCTGAGCTAAATTATCAGCTTAAAATTAAAGTGTGCATTGACAAGTAAGTACTCCTTATCTTAGCTCTTTTTTTCTTTTTTTCAAATGAGGGACAGAGAAATGGGAACTTTTACAGACATCATGTGAACTTAGAGGCTTTATCTTCGTTCAGAGATCTTCGTTTCTTTAAAAAGTTTTCAAAAGCCTTGCTGTGCATTGTCATTTATGTGCCTGAACAAAACCACGAAGCTGGCGGTACAGATTTGAGTTGCGATTGCTATCGTGACCTCGAGTTCCTCTTTTTCTTTATTCATTTTTTTACTTATAAATGTAATGTATGCATATTATATAAAACTGAGAGTATATGGGAAAATTGATTTTTGTTGCTGTTTCACACTTTACCACATAATGGAATCCTCTTCAGAATTTGACAGTACCTTTAAAAAATTAAAATGCACTTACCCTCTGAAAAGATTAAAAAAGAGAAAATGTAGGTGATATAATTGTTTATCTGGAAATTTCATGAAAATGAATTGGAAAATAGTTACTAATGAAATTAGGGACTTGAGGAAAGTGGTAAGTTTAATAAATAAATAAGCAAAAATTGATTACTTTAACCATAAATTAGCATCAACCAGTTAGAAATTATAATAGAAAAATGATCTCACAATAAGCAACAAAAATAAAAAATATATGGTGATAAACTTAACAGAAATATTTAAGACCTACTTGAAGAACACTGTGAAAGTTTAGTGAGGAAGTGACTTAAAAAGTGAGGCAATAAGTCATACCTCTGGATTGAAGACTTTTAATTTTATTATAAAGATGTTGATTCTTCCCAGTTAATATAGAACCAACCAAAACGTGAATAGGATTTTTAAAAACTCTTGACTTGCTTTTCAAGTTATATCTTAGATGAAAAAAATAAGCAGAGATAGTTTTTAAAAAGGATTTATTTTTAATTGTGATAAACATAAAATTTACCATCTTAGCAATTTAAAATCTTGCCCCAAATACTTCTTTAATATCATCAAATAGCCAGTTACTGTTCAAATTTACCTCATATTTTTTCTGTTTTCTTTTTTTTCTTTTTCTTTTTTTATTGATGTATAGTTGATATCAACCGTTTGTAAGGGTACAGTTCAGCAGTGTTGAGTATATGGACATTGTTGTGCAACAGATCTCCAGAACTTTTTCATCTTATAAAACTGAAACTCTATATCCATTGAAGAACAAATCCCCATTTCCCTCTCCCTCCAGCTCCTGACAACCACCAGAATGGTGGTTCTTTTGCTATTCACTTTCCAAAAGAATTTTTTTAACAAATAAAAATTATGGGGGGTGGTATGGGAAGCTGCCTTGCCCAATATTAAAATGTATCACAAAGTTTCAGTTGCTAAATGAGTGTGTTACCAGGGCAGGAATAAACTGATCATTGAAGCAAAATCTAAAGTCCAAAAATAGACTTCAGGTTTGTATAAGGAATTAATATATATTTTAATTGATATCTTAAATTGGCGAGGGAAGCGTGGATTATTCAGTAAGTCGTCTTAGGGAAACTTGGTATTGGGGGGATTTGAGTAAGAAGTTAAACTTTTCACTGTCCATCAGAATAAATTCTAGGTACATCTTAAAAGCATAGGCAAATATATAATATAATGGTGGTAAAAATGGCAACCACTTTTGGAAAACAATTTGGCAGTTTCCTAAAAAGTTAAACATGCACCTACCCTATGACCTAACCATTCCACTCCTAGGTATTTACCCAAGAGAAATGAAAGCATATGTCCACACAAAGGGTTGTACAGGAATCTTCATTAATAGACGAGTGTCCATCAACAGGTGAATAAACAGTTGGTGGTATATCCATGCAACGGAATATTATTCACCAACAAAAAGGAATGAACTATTGATACCCACAACACAAGGATAAATCTCCAAATTAATACACTGAATGAGAGAAGCCAGACCAAGAAAAAAACAGTACATACTTTATGTTGTCATTTATATAAAATTCTAGAAGTGCGAATGAATCTATCATGACTGAGAGCAGATCATTGGTTGCCTGGGGACAGGGGTGGGTGGAGTGTGGGATTGGGGAATGGGTCACATAAGGGCGTGGGGAAACTTGGGGTTGCTGGATATGTTCATTATCTTGATTGGGCTGATGTCACAGGTGTGTATAGTATACATATATCAAACCTCATCAAATTGTGCATTTTATATATGCAGTTTATCATTTATCAATTACATCAAAGGTATACAAAAAAAAAGAATGTGGAAAAAAAGTAAATATAGGCTAGACATGAGGGAAAATTTTCTGATAACGAGGACTTTAAGTTCTCAAATGTGATATATGGGGAATTCCCTGGCAGTCCAGTGGTTAAGACTCTGAGCTTTCACTGCCGAGGGCCTGGGTTCAATCTCTGGTCAGGGAAGTAAGGTCCCACAAGCTGCATGGCCAAAATAGATAAATAAATAAATATAAAATAAAATGTGGTATATAGAAAGGTATCGTTTGAATGGTTTAAAAGTTGATCCATTTTAATCTGTAAACTCCCACAGAATGTACTGTTTAATAAATAGTAGCTGTTTTTCTAAAAGTATGTGAGTATATAGCAATGGAGAAGGACTTTTTAAACAGAACTAAAATAATTTTAAAAAGAAAAGAAAACACTGAGAAATGGTGACTATATAAAAAACGAAATATTCAAAAACACAGGGAACACACTGGGAAGAATATTTCCAGCTATATCAATGGCTTGCTCTGAGTTACAGGTAACAGTAACCCTCTACAGAAAACCCAGTGTGGCTTAAATAATAAGGAAATTTGCAACCCAGTTTAACTAGAAATGCAAAGTTAGAACAGGTTTCTGACGGTGAGATCAGTGACTCAATTGATGTCATCAAGGACCCAGAATCTTCCGTCTCTCTTCTCTGCCACCATAAGTGTCACTGGCATTCTAGGGTTCCCTTCTGGGTTGCTGCATGGTTGCTTGTGGTAGTTAAGGCCACATGCCTCCTTGCTCATGTTCAGCTGAAGCTGTGGAAATGTAAGTACAGCCTGAGAGAGAATCCTTCCCAATCTGATTGAGACAGTAAAGGTCCTGTCCTCAGCCCTGGACTGCTGCACTGTGGGCATGCTCTATTCTGGTGAGCTTAATGGTCAGGATCCCCTGGAGGCAGGGGTGGGAAAGATACTTGACAGAGTCAAGGTTCTGTTAGGAAGAGGGGAGTGGAGTCTGGGTAGGCAACCAGCTGTGTCTGCGACTTCAGCATGTATAGGATTGTTAATTTCACATATAAAATGTAATTGAGTCATTTACAGGAATCCCCAGGAGAACAGCAGTTTTTCCATCAGAATCAATTATAGGTGTTCAAAGTAGTCTTTTGAAGAAACTCAGGGCCTTTTTTATTACCACTGGTTTGTGTTCTTAACAGAGACTCCGGGGATGTTGCAGCTCTCAGAGGGTAAGTTCAGCCTGGAGGCTTCCTTGTGTTCCCGTTTAATCTAACTTTGTCCTCTGACCACTCGCTCACCTATGTGGTTGGTTTTTTTCTCCTGTGATTCAGATCCCGGAAATTTAACATCCTGGGCACAAACACGAAAGTGATGAACATGGAAGAGTCTAACAACGGCAGCCTCTCCGCAGAGTTCAAACACTTGGTACACGGGAGAAGCCTGGACTCACCTTCTCCCAGGGCCTCTGGCAGGGGGAGTGGTTAGGGGAGAGCCTCAGGTGACAGGGGATGCTCTTTGCTTTTCTTACAGACCCTGAGAGAGCAGAGATGTGGTAACGGGGGCCGAGCCAACTGCGACGTAAGTTTTGTTGGGGATGAAAGCCAACTATAGGTGGGTTTTCTTTGAGCAGGAGAGAAAAAGAGCCTTCTTACTGCCCAGAAGTAGGACACCTGACCAGCTGCAGTCACCACAGGCCAACATGACACATCAGAAGTCACTCATGCCTTGGAGTACTCTGGCTCGGAGCATTTCCTTGATTGTCCGGGGAGTTAGCTCATCATTAAGGAGTGGAAAGCCCCTTGCCCACACCCATGTAGTGGAAAAGAAGCCTTCCACCTTGCCTGGGGCTTTCCAAATTCCCCTTCCAACTTCTGTGCGCTGACATGGCTTGGCTCAGCTTTTGGTGACCTGTTTTGGTCACTGAGGTGGGATGGAAGGTTTCAACAAATCCGAATTAAACATTTTACCAAAAGAAAAAGAACAAAGCAATACGAATCCCCTTATTTCTTCTCTGCCTCCTATTTATTCAGATTATTGGACTCTTAGTGTTAGGAATAAACTTAAGGGACTTTCCTGGCGGTCCAGTGGTTAACAATCAGGGCTTTCACTGCCATGGGCCTGGGTTTGATCCCTAGTTGAGGAACTAAGATCCCATAAGTCACGTGGCATGGCCAAAATAGAAAAAAAAAAGAATAAACTTAAAAAAAAAAGGTAAATGTGACCAAAAACTAGTTTTAAATATTTTTTTATAAAACTGTGACACCCTATTCTTTTTCTGATATTTGTCCCCTGAGCTATTCTTACCCTCTTCTCTAGAACGTAGCAGGCCTTTTGAAAAAAAAAAAAAAAAAGATTGAATTTATAATACTTGACAGCAGTTAAAAAGTGAGGTATGCAATGATACAGGAAAATGTATGTGGCATATTTATTTAAGAAAAAAAGATGCAAAATAATTTGAGTAGTATATTAGTATATTTGTTTAAAAAAACTTACACTGTATTTTGTCTATTCATGTCTGCATTACAAAATTCTAGAGGAATATCTACCAAACAGTGCTGCTGTTCTTATCCAAGGCTACTCTGTACTATCTCTGTAACATTTGCATTTAAACTGAATGTGTATTACTTTTGTAATTAGAAAAAGCATTTTAAATATGAATTGGAACTTCTAATAATTCATTGGCAATTCTCATTCAAAATAATGTCGCTGTATTGCTGGTGGGAGTATAAATTGTTACAGTCACTTTGGAAAACAATTGGGCATTATAAAAATGAACATACCCTGTAAACCAACAGTGCCACTCCCAGGATTTAACAATAGAGGAATCTTTGCACATAGGTAGCAGGAGATACGTACAAAATGTCAGAGCAGCCTGATTGTAAGCCCTAAATACAAACCAAATGCCATCAGCACTAGAGTGGATAAATGATCTGCAGTATAGTCAGGTGATGGAATACTATACGGCTGTGAAAATGGAGAAATTGCAGGTGCACACAGCTACATGGATGTGAAAAGCAAGTCACAAAATACACAGGGTGTGATTCCATATGTATAAGATGGAACTAAACAAACTAAACCACACATACATTGTTTAGAGGTATAAATTTGGTAAAACTATAAAGAAGAGCTAGGAAATGATGAACTCAAAAGACAAAATAGCCATTAATTCTGAGGGAGGAGGCACAGGGATGGATGGGGTTGGGAAGGGTGCCCAGAGAATCTCAGTAGTGATGGTCTTTCCCTTAAACTGGGTGGTGGGTACACAAGTGTTCACTGTTTTGTCATTCTTTGTGCCTTACCCATTTTATACATAACCTATTGGATCTCCTTAGTATCATAATAAAGCTAGTAGGAGGTCAGGTTGAGGACCATAGCACTGGAGAGTGATAGTGTTGAAGAGACCATGTGCTCCAGTTGTGTCTGTGGCCACCTGGTGGACTGCCCTTCTGGATGGTGTAGTGGTGGCGTCAGGACTGAATACCATCCTCTCTGAGGAATAGCGTCCTTCTTCTTGTAGGCCTCCCTGATTGTGACTGAAGAGCTGCACCTGATCACCTTCGAGACTGAGGTGTATCACCAAGGCCTCAAGATTGACCTAGAGGTGAGTTCTGTGACAGAACTGGGTAGGGCTGCACGCAGTGGTAATTCAGGACAAGACTTCTTCTAGTTGATTTTTTTACTCCAGAGGCTGGAATGGTGACTCTTTGCTAAGCACTGTGTTTACTTTTGCTTCTCTTCCTCCCCAAAATCTTTAGTATCCCACCTGAGAGTAAAGTCTTGCCTGAGTGCTTAGAAGATACATGTCTACTCAGCTTTCAGCAAACTTGATATAAAAACTCATATTTAGACATTGATCATAGCTGACTTTATAAAGTTTGGGCAAAACAGTCTTTCAACAACTAATGTCTTTAGTATACAGACAGTCATGGCATTTAGATGCTCTTTCCCCAACTTTCTTGATCTTTAAATTAAAGATACACCGGAAAAGCAGGAACCCTAGTCTTTGATCCCTGGGACCTCTCTGTTTAATGGGCAGGTACAGCTTTGATTCGTGGAGGATGCCTTGCAGGTGTTTTAAATGGGGAACCCATGGACTGTGAGTCCACCGTGAGCAAGTTAGCTTTACAAGTTCCTGGTGATGTTCAGACAGCCGCCGAGTTCGGCATTCTTTCCACTCTGGGTGTTGAGCTGAGCCAGCCCCGCTC